CAGCAGACAAGCCCAGGCAGACTGCTAGTTTACTTCTCAGAGCAGCAGCCTGCTTAAGTTTCTGTTTCAATTCTCTGCACAGACTTAGATCTGTTTAAGCTGCCATTGGCTGACTTAATTGCTATGCCTATTCATTGGCTGACCTTGTTCCCATGTCTCTCCCAGTCATGAATATTTTAACAAGTTCCCAGAATTCCCCACCCAGCATACTGACTAGTGAATTCTGAAGAGTTTAAATCTGCAACTCTTAAACTTGCCAAGGTTGAAAAAACACTGCCAGAATCTATCCTCCTACCTCATTAAATTTTCTCCTGTTGTTCAGAAAATGGGTTTGGTTTTATTTCCCTCCCCCCCCAAAAAAAATTCTAGTAGCTGTCCCAATTTTGAGAAACTCTTGTCACATTCCTATGAATCCCAATAATTAATTTAGTATTTAGTAAGTGTTTTCTAACCTTTTAAGCTTACCTTGCATAAATCAAATACAATGAGTTTTTGCTTAATTAAGCAAGTACAGCCTTTTATGTTTCCCCTCTTCCTCTCTTCCTTAAAGCGCTACGTGGACGGTGGATTAAGTGACAACTTACCTCGCTATAATTTGAAGAACACCATCACTGTTTCTCCTTTCTCTGGGGAAAGTGACATTTGTCCCAAGGGGAACTCTGCAAACTTCCACGAGATGCGTCTCACCAATACAAGCATTCAATTTAGCTTAGGGAACATGTATCGTTTAACTCAAGCACTTTTTCCTCCAGAGCCCCAGGTATCGTATGTTCAACATTGCCTATTATGTAATCATTCTTTTCATTGATGCTATTAGTTATTTGTATGACTTTGAGAAAATGATAGACATATTTTCCAAGCAACACAAAAAACAAGACGGTTATGGGACTTTAATTAACGTTCCTGTTCCGACACAGCTCCCCAAACACGACAGTTCCTCTGTTGTTGAAGCAATGATTCCATTATTAGGAGTGCCAGCAGCCCCGGCAAAAAGTTTCTCTCTCAACACAGGCTAACAAGTCTGTCCAGCAGGGAGATGAATAGTTGTCTGCCACATATTCATCTCCGCCTCCTGCCGCTTATCCCCAGAGCTAGCACAGGGCCTCGCTAGCAGCGGTGGCTCTTCCTTCCCAAGGACCGGCTTATAGATTTCCTCACTGCTCTCCTCTCCTCTGCCTTCTGCACATTCACACGTAGGCCACAGGACCCAGCTGTTCCTCTTCTTCCTCATCAGCCGCCTCTAGATCTGGGAGCTGTTGACTCTCCATCTGGGGGCTGATGGACAGCTCAGGCTCTGTCTCTGTCTCTCTCTGTATCTGTGGCAGCCAATTCCTTTTAGGATTTTTTTTTTTTCAGAAAGACCAAAAGCAAAAAAAATATATTCAGTTTCCAAATGGTTGTCAGGCCTGCAGCCATATTCTTTGCTGGCTCTTTGGCCTGCCACACACTCTCTTATTTTACTATGCTGTTTCATTAGTGGGGAATTGGGAGGGGGAATAGTAAGGCATAGAATGTGTTGTTTTCAACATAAAAAATTACTTTCTAGAAATCAGTGTCAGTGGAAATAACAGACAGGCACGGACTTCAACGGATAATTAGAACTGCAGAGAAAACAATGGCTACCAACCTGCCTTCCATGGAGCACCTGCACACTGCACGAGTCAAAAAGAGGGCTGTGAAAATATCTACAGACCCCTCACATCCTGGACATAAATTGTTTCAACTCCTACCCTCAGAACGCCACTATAGGGCACTGCACATCANTATCTTGCATTCTTCACTCTTCTTACCCTGTTTCCCTGAAAATAAGCCCTCCCTGGATAATAAGCCCTCCCCAAAAATATTGCAACACAGCAGCATGCATGAGGTGACCACGTTCGCCACTTCCTGCATCTCAAAAATAATAAGACCTCCCCGAAAATAAGGCCAAGCACTTATTTTGATGTCAAAAGAAAATAGGACCCTGTCTTATTTTTGGGGAAATACAGTACTACCTAAGGCTTGTGTCATGTTGCTTCTTGGGTGGAGGAGGTAAGACGATACGCAGGTATAGCACATTGATATGTGAGTCCGTTGTGCTTCCAGTTAGTGTGTACCTACTCCAAGATTCTAGAGTTGTGCTAGATGTGTGCAGAGATTTTCAGGGCACAAATACACTTGTTGTTCGGAAAAGCGACTGTTGAGAACTGGCCTGTATAACAGTAAAAAAATCCTCTTGAAGATTAATGCTAATGATTAATCCTCTTACCCTAAAGTCCTCCCTTGTGCAATGTATTTCAGGGTCAGGCATGGAAGTTAAATGCATGTTGGTTATAAAGGAACTATGGCAGTATTAATCATTACTTACCTAGTTGTTGTTTTACTAATAAGTAATATTACTGCTTTAGTAATAAGAAGGATTCTTGAGCAGATAATAGCCAGATCAGCGGTCCCCATCCTTTGCGGCTTTGGGGCCCGGCTGGGTGGGGGTAGATGGAAACTGAGCTGCGCATGCAGCCCTAGTATGAGTGGCAGGTTGGCGTGCATGCACGCAGATCAACTTGCACAAGTAGAGTGCTGGTGCACATGTGCACAAGTGCCTGCCGGACCACCGTTCACGCAGGTTGAGTTGTGTGCACATGCTCCTGCCAGCCAATCGCGTAGCCCTATTCCGAATAGGCCATGGTCCAGTAGTGGGTTACAGCCTGGGGGTTGAGGGTCCCTGAGCAAGATCAGTTTGTGTATGCCAGTTTTATTTTCATGTAATTTTTCTTACAAATACCTCAGTGTTATTTTATGATACAAATATATTTCGGGCGGGGGGGGGAAGTAGGATGTTTTTTAAGTGTATCCATTTAGATAGATTTTCTTAGTTTACTTGACTGGACCACCATGTGAAAGAGTTTAGCAAAGTGAGAAATATAATAAATGCTTCTTGATTTTTCCAAACACACTTTTGGTTCTCAGCTATCATTGAGTAAAACCCCTGTATTGCTTCCAGTTCTAATTCTTATTACAAAAACACCATGATTTGTTTTTAGCTAAATGAGCAGCTGAATAAATAAATAGCTGAATAAATAAGTAGCTGAATCAATCAATCAATCAATCAATAAGTAAGTAAGTAAATATAATTAGGAGACCAACATTTTACTGCTATGAAGTGTGGGAGATGAATGCAGTAGGGCAGGGGTGTCAAACTCGCATCATCATGGCGGTGTCATGTGATATATCGCGACTTTTACCGCCTTCACTAAACCAAGCCTGGGCGTGGCCAGCGCATGACGCATCTGGCCTGCAGGCCGCGAGTTTGACAGCCCTGCAGTAGAGGATTGAGGTCTGGCCAGAAATGGCTAAAATTAAATGGTTGAATCATTACAGATTGATCCTGATAAATGGTGAATTAAAATTTGACAATCAAATGGTAGTCTTATTTAAATTCTAAATAGAACAAGGAATTTTTTTAAACTGATAACATATGTAGCAATTCCTATAAATGGTGATATGCGGTAGGTTATATCAGAACCAAGTTTTATCAATTTTGGCAACTTTAAGACATGTGGACTTCAGCTGTCAGAGTTTGTTGCATAAATTCAAATCCAGAAGCACACAAAGATAACTGATGCAGCAGGATTCATTAACTTCTTTATATACATAAGAATAGATGAATAAATGTACAATGCCAGCAGGTGGTTCTTCCAAGTAAATACAAGGCAGGAGA